ATGCAAAAAGAGCACAAAGTCTGTCAATTTGTGTAAGGTTTGCATGACCTGTAAAGCAAACCACTGTTACATTGTATAACACTGTCCTCAGCATGTCATGGCCATTTCCCCTCTTGAACTCTTAGCAGCTGGCGTTACCCTCAGGAGACCCAAACACAATTTGGTTCATTAATTCTATCGTAAGGGGAGGGTCTCATGAGGTTCTCACCTGTTCCTAAATATATACAGGCAGTTAGTAGTTGCATACGGGGGGGGGGGCAGCTCACAAGGCACCCACTCTTCTGTGAAAATATGTAGGTAGTTACCAGTTGCTGAGATCAAGTGGGACTCAGGAGGACCATATCCTCAAGGAGAGAGACAGTTAACAGTTGCTGGAAGAGACCGGGGCCTCACCCCTCCCACAAGATGGGTAGTTCACAATTGCTGAGCTTGGGACTCAGGAGCTCCCTACCCCACCAAGGATACACAGGCAGCTAATAGTTGCAGAGAATGGGGTTCAGGCAGACACCCCTCCACTGCCAAGGATAGACAGACAGTTACAAGTTGATGAGGAGAGAACCAGGTGTCCCCAGTCCTCCCAGAAAATAGGCAGTCAGTTGTTTAACCAGGTATAAATTGCCCATGCTCCTGTAAATACCTCCCATTAAGCTCATTGGTCACCGTGCTAGACAGGATTGAAATCTCTTCTTTGGTCTGTAGTTTTGGTACCTTATATGAGGGAAATAGGTATCTATTCATCACCCTAGCAAAAGTCACATAAAAATTAGAATATGGTGGTCCCTTTGCCTTAAAAATCCTGGATTTTGAGAGGTAATTATTTCTTTAAATTCACATACTATCCGTGTGTGTGTGTGTGTGTGTGTGTGTGTGTGTGTGTGTGTGTGTATCTGTGTATCTCTGTGTGTGTCTGTGTGTGTGGTGTGTCTGTGTGTTTGTGTGTCTGTGTGGTGTGTGCGTGTGTCTGTGTGTGTCTGTGTGTGGTTTCGTGAGTCTGTATGTGTGAGTCTGTGTGTGTATGTGTGTGAGTCTGTGTGTGTATGTGTGTGAGTCCGTGTGTGTATGTGTGTGTGTCTGTGTGTGAGTCTGTGTGTGGTGTGTGTGTGTGTGTGTGTGTGTGTGTGTGTGTGTGTCCACACAAGAATAGCCATGCCATTTATGCCATTGCATTATTACTTTGGCAAAAGTTCTGGCAGAAAAAGGACTTAAAGGTTTGGGGCTTTTGGTTTTGTTTTATGAATTCTTGGGATGGGACAGGAGAGATGACTCAGTGGTTAAGAGCACTGACTGCTCTTGCAGAGGATCCAGGTTCAGTTCCCACACACACATGGTGGCTCACAAACAGCTGTAACTCCAGTTCCAGGGAATGCAATACCCTCTTCTGGCCTCTACAGGTGCCAGGCATACATGTGGCAAATGGACATACATGCAGGCAAAACAACCATACACATAAAATATTTTTTTTTAATTCTTGGATCTGATAAGATATATCACCTAGGTACTCTGCTTACTAAATAAACAAGAACTGTCAAAACATGAGTTGAGTACTACCTGAGAAAGAGGGGATAAGTTGACTGGCCTAACAAAGATCTTTGAATATTGGTACTGATCATTTTTCTCCCTGTATTTATATAAAGTATATGGGAGGAAGCCTTAAGAAATAGTGCCTTTTCATGAGCCCATTGCTGACCATACATTAAATATGAGCACCACATATACAGTTTTTTATTTTTTGTTTGAATTAGAAACAAGATTGTTTCACATGTCAATCCCAGTTCCCTCTCCCTCTCGTCCTTCCCTACCACCACCCCCAACTAAAACCCTACCTATCCCATATCCTTTCTGCTCCCCAGGGAGGGTGAGGCCTTCCATAGGGTGTCATCAGAGTCTATTGTATCCTTTGGGATAGGGCCTAGGCCCAGCCCCATGTGTCTTGGCTCAGGGAGTATCCCTCTATGTGGAATGGGCTCCCAAAGTCCACACCTATGCTAGGGATAAGTACTGAACTACTACAGGAGGTCCCGTAGATTTCCGAGGTTTCCTCACTGAAACGCACATTGCTGGCGTCTGGTTCAGTCCCATGCTGGTACCCCAGCTATCAGTCTGGGGACCAGTTTAAAGATTTCAGTAACCACATTAAAGAGTAAAAAGACATAGGTAAAATTACTTTTCAGTAATATTTTATTTAACCCAGTATATCTGAAGTACTGTCATTTCAGCATGTAATCTACAGGAATAATTACATAGTTAACATCATTCTTTTTTAGTTGAGTCTTTGAAATGCAGTATGTATTTGATAGTAATAACACATAACAATTCATTTACCACATTAACAGTGCTCAGTTGCAACATATGGCTAGTGACCACCATACTGCATGGCGGAGGGCTACACAGTTCTAGAAATGTGCCAGACAGTTTTAAAATGTGAATGGGAGAAAACACCCAAAAGTCCTGTTTGGGGTTGTGTTGAATGAAATGGAAACTGGAACCTGACTTTTAGTAGGCTCCAGGCCATCACATTGCATGAGTTCAGTCAGGGGTCCATCACCTTCAAAATGAAATTATTGTATTTGAAGCAAAACATCAATTAGACATCTCAACTTTCCCCCTTATACAAATGAATCCAAACTACTCATTAACTTTAATCATCATTAATATCTTCTCCCAACTATCTTCAAAGCAATTATTAGGTCTGTCTTTGCATGTTGCACTTGTCTAATTGCCATGTTTTTTAAAAGACAGTCTGTGCATGGTGCAGTCAGTGCTCTAGCCTCAAAGATCCTCCACCTCAGCCCCCTGAGTGTTGGAATTACTCCCATATAACTAGCTATTCCCTTGTATCATTAAGGATCCAGCAAAAGCCCCTAATCGCCACAACCTTTACATGGACATAAATCACCTGGCTTCAAGGTGACTGAGTAGTAGCAACAGCTCAGCTCTCAGAACTGAGCTCAGTTTCAATGGGTTCTCCTAGTGCATCCTGCCATTGTAAGATTGTGTAAGCACTCCCCACACCCCATATGAACACTACCCCCTGTTAACCCGGTGTGAAACAGAAGATTACCAATGTACACTTCCCTCTCATGACCCACAAAGAGGATTCAACTGTGGGCCAAGATTAACATTTATGGAGTGTCATGGGAAAGTTTTCCGGCTTTGCAGCTGGGTACTTAGATTCAGATTCCATTCCTGCCATTTAGTAGCTATGCATCTTCAGGTAATTTAAATCACCCATTAGTGTCCCCATTTGTAAAAAACTTAAAAGCTGCTCCCACAGAACCATAAAAAATGAATGAAAATATATGAGAAGAGTTTGTGCATGGTGGACACGTGGGGAATGCTATCTGTTTTGTTTCCCTTTTCCTCTTCCTGCCTCTGCTTCCCAAGTGCTGGGATTAAAGGCGTGCACCACCAACACCTGGCTCTCTTGTACTCTTTTGAAAGCAATAAAGTAGTATATGAAAAAATACCTTCCAGTCATGTTTTGAAAGCTATTTAGTAGATGATGTCTTAGATGTAGCTATTACTATGCTTAATGAAGCTGTTTTAAATCTGTATTTGGCTGGGCAGTGGTGGCACAAGCCTTTAATCCCAACACTTGGGAGGCACAGACAGGTGTATCTCTGAGTTTGAGGCCAACCTGATCTATAGAGTGAGTTCCAGGACAGGCTCCAACCTACAGACAAACCTTGTCTCAAAAAAAAAAAATCTGTATTCAAATATTTTTTTAAAACATAATATTCTCTTTTTTGTATAGTGTGTTTGTAGTGTATGTGTATAGTGTGAGTATTGTGTGCGTGTGTGTGTGTGTGTGTGTGTGTGTGTGTGTGTGTGTGTGTGTGGCGATGGTTCAGCAGTTAACAAACTTACTGCTCTTCCAGGGGACTTGAGTTTGGCTCCTGGGATACACATGGGGAGGTTCAAAATCACCTGTAACTCCGGCTCCGGGGAGTCTGACAATAAAAACATAATATTCTTTTTACATTTATTTTTATTTTATGTTCATTGGTGTTTGGCCTGCATGCATGTCTGTGTGAGGGTGTCAGAAGCCATGGAACCTGAGTTATAGACAGGTGTGAGCTGCCATGTGGGTGCTGGGAATTGAACCCAGGCCCTCTGGAAGAACAGACAGTGCTCTCAACCTCTGAGCCATCTCTCCAGCCCCCAAAATTCAGTTTTTTAAAATTGAATTTTAAGTCTAAATGCTTATACAAGAAAATAAAAAAAAAAACTTTAGGGACTAGGGATGTAGCTTAATTGCTACAGTGCCTGCCTAGTATGCAGGAGGTCCTGAGTTTGATCTCCAGCCCTGCATTAAAAAGAGGCCTAGTCTCACCCTCCCTGGAGAGCAGAAAGGGTATGGGATAGGTAGGGGGGCAGGGGAGACAGAAGGAACTGGGATTGACATGTAAAAGAATCTTGTTTCTAATTTTAGAAAAAATGGAGAGAAAGAAAAAATAAAGATAAAAAATAAAAAGGGTTCTAGTGGTGCACAACTGTAGTCCCAGTACTTAGGAGGTAGAGGCCAGAGATGGAGAAGTTCAAGGTTATCCTCCATACATTGAGTAAGTTCCATGCTAGCCTGGGCTACATGAGGGTCCGTGGAAAGGGAACCAGTATTTATCCCTAGTGCACAAATGGGCTTTGGAAGCCCATTTCCCCATGGAGGGATACTTCTCAGCCTAGATACAGGGGGGAAAGCCAATGATGTAGCAGACTTTGATGATTCCCCATGGGAGGCCTCACCCTCCCTGAGGAGTGAATGGGGGTGGGATGGGGAGAATAGTGGGGGGGTGGGAGGACAGGAGGGAGACAGAACTGGGACTGGTACATAAAATAAGATTGTTTAAAATAAAAAAAAGAAAAAAAGCTTCCAAGAAGGTACAGGACAAAAAATACTCCTCACCCTCACCAATTAAGGTCAGATATGTAAGTGAAGTGAATTTTGGCTTTAAAAAGTTTAGATAACATCATTTTCCAATTTTTTACATTTATTTATTTAGTGTGCGCATGTTCACGTGGCACCACCTGTATGTGGTAGTCAGAGGACAACTTGAGGGAGTCATTTTCCTCTTTCCACCAGTGGGTCCCAGGGACTGAACTCAGGTTGTCAGCCTTGGCAGCAAGAACCCTTACCTACTGAGCCATCTTGCAAGCCCCCTGGAGCACCAATTGAATAGGTAAGAGCCATTCTGCATAGAATATATTTCTCATCATGACAAACTTGAGAATGTCAATATAAAGAACCAGAAGAATAAGCCCTGAAGTTATTGAATAAGGAAGCAAATTCGGCATTTTTTACAAGTCAGGTTGGGCAAGATGGCTACAGTTTGTCATCCTGAGTTCTGCAAGCAAGAGGATTATGAAATCAAGCCTAGCCCGAGCTATATCATCATACTGGTTTGCAAGTTTCCAAGCCTCAGGGCATTAGCATAAGGCAACGTCAATCTTGGGGGACAAGGAATATCCCCTTTCGAAACAGAAATCAGTAAGAATAAAAATGAGCTTCCAGATCTTAGACTTCCCAGTAGGTTTCCATTGATGAACAAGGAAAACTGAATTTGGTTTGGTTTGGTTTGGTTTTTTTGAGACAGGGTTTCTCTTTGGCTGTCCTGTAACTCACTCTGCAGATCAGGCTGGCCTCGAACTCACAGAAATCTGCCTGCCTCTGCCTCCTGAGTGCTGGAATTAAAGGCGTGCGCCACCAACACCCGGCTACTTACGTGAACTTGAGGGGAGTAAATAATTTATTATACCCTATCATTTATTGGTCCCCATTCACCCTGACTGAAATTAAGTATTTGAAAAGCTGGGCATTAGCCAGGCGTTGGTGGGCATGGTAACCCAAGTACTCAAGGGACTGAGACAGGAGGATCAGGAGTTCAGGGCAGTTTGGACTATACACATAGCAAGACCTTTCCTCTAGGGGAAAAGAGAAATCTTTTGAAAATGTTTGGATGGTTTGATAGATTTGTCTGTGTTTCTAGTTTTCGCCTAAAAGAAAAAGCAATGGCGTGCATGCTAATATTAATGGGTTGGAGAGATAGCTTAGTGGTTGAGGGCAATTGTTTTTCTAAAGGACCCAAGTTCATTCTCTGAAGACACATGGTAGCTCATGAATATCTTAACGCCAGTTCCAGGGAATCTGATGCTTTCTTCTGGCCTCCCTGAGCACCAAACATACAAGTGGTGCCCAGACATGCAGGCAAAACACTCCTACATTTCAAAATTGTAAGTCTGCTACACACCATAAACCACTGAACTAGTGCGCATGTAAAACTGGCACCTGTACTTCTCTTTTTAATTAACTACTTCTGATAGGTGCACATCTTTCCTTCCTCTAATCAAGTTTTCTTTATCCATTTGAGGCATCAGGTCCCAAACATACTAACTGCCAAAACAATCCATTTAGTTATAAACTGACATTAGTAAATGAGGCATGGCATTCTCTCCAACTAGGGTTTTAAGTAGAAATTATTTTTACTACTTTGTCTATTTCTCAGAGTATTGGAGGATAAAATTTAGTGTTCTTCAATTGTTACTCTAAAGCAACTGTTAATTCCCTCCCTGTGACTTTTTCATTTCAGGGTTTTGTTGTTGGAAATAGCACCTATGTAGTCCAGGCTGGCCTAGAACTCACATTCACCTGGGATTAATGAACTGCTCCTAATCAACAATATCAGAAGAAACTCCTGAGTTTCTCCCTTAATCCGTCCTATGACAGATTTTATCCACTGAAAGGTTGGCTTTAGAGATGAGGTAGAATAAGCTGGTCTTCAAGCCTCAATCTGCCTCCCCCAGCCTTCTGAGTAACGGGATTGGAGGCAATTATAGAGGCGCACTACCATACCTGGGTTCTTTTTTGTTTTTCAGGCACATCTCCGGAAGTAGCAGGGCTCAATCTGAGTTCATGGTAGTCCTGCTTAGGTCTCACAAGTGCTAGGACTACAGGCACATACCACCACACTGAACCTAATTCTAATGCTGATTTTAAAACTGACCCTCAGTTTTATTCATTCACCCAGATCTGATGTCACTGTAACCCTTTACTGGGAATTAACTGGTTTTAATACAATACTAAACAAACTGATGTTACAGATGGTAAGTCTCACTATTCCTGCCACAAATGCTTTACTAAAGATATACACAGAAAGCATAAAATAAAAAAATATCATTCATTTACATACATCAGTCTTTACACAGACTGGTAAGGCTTCATTACAAACTGCTGTAAGACTATGATACTAAGAGTTATAATTGCTCTCATTTTTGCTGTGTTAATATGATTGTAACATATTTAATGTATATGCTCTACAGGGTTTCTAAAATATTTTATTGGCCTACTTTTTTTTCTTAAAAATCAACTTTTAGTATCTTCTTTATTTTTTATTTTAGAAACGATTTTATTTTACATATCAATCCCCCATTCCCTTGCCCTCCCACTCCCCAAGGATAGTGAGGCCCTCCATGGGGGGCCATCAAAGTCTGTCACATCAATCTGGGGGAGGGCCCAGGCCCTCTTTCATGCATCTGGGCTGCAACAGTATCCCTCCATAGGGAATGGGCTCCCAAAGTCCACCTATGCACTAGGGATAAATACCAGCTCCACTGTTAGAGGTCCCATAGATTGCCCAGGACTCCTAGCTGGCACCCACATTCAGAGGTCTTGGTTCGGCCCAATGAATGGCCTTCTCATACAGCACGTTTAAGGATACTTGAGACCTCAAGTCATAGTTATATTGACACAGGATTTATGTTTTCGCTGTTTTTCTTTCATTACAAATCAATTTTAGTAGATACTCCTTTAGAAATTGAAATCATTTTGAGTTTTCTGTAGAACATTGAGAGAGATATACTCAATATTAAGGAACAAAATTAAAATATTTACCATATTTTGTTTGGGTATACATCCATATTTCCATTAATACATACTTGCTGTGTTTATGTTACCATGACCAACAAAAAATGGAATACCTCTACAAATTTAGCAAATTGCTACTCATTTTTCTTCTAAAGCACTATACCTAGAAATAGTGTATCCTCAGTTACGATGTGTTTAGATGGGAAACTTACTTGTATAGAATTATTTGACAAGTATCATATGATTTTATTTGGGGAATATCAAATCCCTCAATTTGGAAATGTTCAAGACTACCCTTGAAATAAAGAAAGGGAGGAGGGAAGAAAGGAAGGAAGGAAGGAAGGAAGGAAGGAAGGAAGGAAGAAAGAAAGAAAGAGAGAAAGAAAGAAAGAAATCCAGCTGGTTTAGTTTACAGTTGATAATGTTTTTTTTAAGAGATAAAAGAAAACAAGCTGGTCCTGGTGATGCAGCCCATAATCCTAGTTTCCTGAGAGGCTGAAGCAAGAGGACTGCAAGTTCAAGGACTGTTGGATTCTAGAGCAAGCTCAAGGCCAACTTAGGTCAATTAATGAGATCCTGCCTCAAAATAAAAAGACTGGGGATACAGTCCAGTGTCAGAGCACTTGCTTAGCATTTACAAAGTCTTGGGTTCACCCTCCAGTCCTGGGGGGTGGGTAGGGCAGGTGCTAACAGAACAGTAGCAAAACACAAGACTGCTAGAAGACTGACTGCTCAAGCTTTAAGGCACCGAACTGTGGGATAACCATCCAATCTGGGATGGTCAACTGTTACAACCCCAAAGCCTATGGATTTTTTAAAAGATTTCTCTATTGTGTGCTATGTGTTTTGCCTACATGGATGTGTATACAGCACGTATGTGCCTGGTACCAATGGAGGCTCGTCTAGATCCTCTGAAACCAGAGGTCCAGACAGTTGTGAGCTACCATGGGGTTGCTAGGAACTTAAGCCAGTCTTCCGAAATAGCAGCCTGTGCTCTTGAACCACTGAGTTATCTTATATCTCCATTCCTACATTTGGATTTTTTGTTGTTGTTGTTTTTCAAGACAGGGTTTCTCTGTGGCTTTGGAGGCTGTCCTGGAACTAGCTCTTGTAGACGAGGCTGGGCTTGAACTCACAAAGATCTGCCTGCCTCTGCCTCCCGAGTGCTGAGACTAAAGGTGTGCGCCACCACCGCCTGGCTGGATTTTCTTTTTTTTAAAAAAAAAACTTCATACTGGATACAATATAAGAGGTGCTTGTATAGCTCATTTATGTGTAATTTGTAAATTTTTTTTGAGACAGGGTCACACCATATAGCCCTATCCTAGAACTCGCTGTATAGATGACACTGACCTCAAACTCAGAGATCTGCCTATCTCTGCTTTCCAAAGTGCTGTGGTTAAAATTGTGAGCCACAACACCCAACACAAATTCGCAAAGCTCTGATAACTAAAATTGGAAACGTATTATAATTAATACTGACTTTATAAATCGGTCTTGGGCCTATCACCATTGCCCATGTTTTTCTTCATGAAATTTTCTATACCCACTACACTTGAAGCCCCTTAATTGCAAGAGCTTCTTACGTATTTTTCCTTTTTACTATTCTATATAGGAACAAAACCTATCAAGTTCAACTGACTTGGGCTCAGTGAAAATGAGCCAACTACACAAGAATAGCTAGAATGGCTGGGCGTTGGTGGCGCACTCCTTTAATCCCACCACTTGGGAGGCAGAGGCAGGCGGATCGCTGTGAGTTCGAGGCCAGCCTGGTCTCCAGAGAGTGCCAGGATAGGCTCCAAAGCTACAGAGAAACCGTGTCTCAACCCCCCCACACCAAAAAAAAAGAATAGCTAGAATGTAAGTTAAGTCTGACACAGATTTAATTTTGAAACTTGCAACTAGTGTCACATTGCTCAAAAGATAACAGACCCTCTCTGTATTACTCTCAAGAATACAGGTAAATGAAAGTTTCCTTCAAGCATGCTGCAATAAAGTGCCGCATCTTTCTGCCAGGGCTGTTACACAGAGAAACCCTGTCTCAAAAAAAAAAAAAAAAAAAAAAACTGGGGAAAAAACTGAAAAGGCTTGCACAAGGAGAGAAGCACCTCTGATTAAAATTCATGAGATGGGGCCTCAAACTCAGGAGAGGCAGGCAATATACTTTGTACCTTAGCATAGTAGAAAAGCAAGCACAAATATTGATGTTGAATACATTTCTGTTTGTTTTTTCGAGACAGGGTTTCTCTGTGTAGCTTTGGACCTATTCTGGCACTCGCTCTGGAGACCAGGCTGGCCTCGAACTCACAGAGATCCACCTGCCTCTGCCTCCCGAGTGCTGGGATTAAAGGTGTGTGCCACCAACGCCTGGCTTGATGTTGCTATTTTGAAAGTGCTCTCTACAGCCACTGTGACAGTGGTTAGGTACAAGGATCAATTATTCTAGAAAGCAGGCAACATAAACTTTTAACTTCCCCAGTTTATGTTTCTGTGTGCCATGCTCTTGACTGTTTGCTCCACACAATCGTGGTCAATAACATGACTTTATCAGCAAAATGAAAGGCTCAAGGCTTGTTTTTTTTTTTTGGCACAAGTGGTGTATACATTATTTTTGGGACTATAAGAAGCTAGAGGCATCAAAATGTTTACTTCTGCCTCAGAATTAGAGACATGAATTTGAAATCAGTAAGTCAGCATAAATGTTTTGAGACAAAATGTCACTATGCACATCTGGCTGGCCTTGTACTCAGAGATTCTGCTGCATGAGTGCTTGGATAAAAGGTGTACGCCACCACATCCAGCAAGACTTTTTTATCTTCCAAGAATAACTATCAAATCGAGCAATATGCTTTAAGCTATAAAATGCAACTGTCACAATAAGAGGAAAATATTAGACAGAACTTGAAAAGGATACAGGGCATCTCTACAGGCTAGGAAAGACAAGATTTTGGCAGTGATAAGCATTCTAATTCAGGAAGAAGCAGGAAAAATTCTCCAAGCCTTACCCCAGTCCAGATGAATTATCCCAAGTTACCAACCGTTCTTTGCTCTCTGTATTTACCAAGAACCTCCTTGTTCACTAATTGTTTCCCCTATGTTGGCCCATTACACAAAGTAATATATTTATATTCTAACTGGGAAATCTGCAAGTCTTACATGGTCCCTCATTGGGGAATGGCTTGCCAATCTGAGGATCAGCTCTTCTATCTGTATTCACCTATGTTACATCCTGGGAGGCCCAGCTAGAACAGCTAGCTGCATGATCCCTCTTTACTATCGACCCTCACCATTCTCACCAACGTCTAACTGTAACTCGGTCACCACAAGCTTGTAAATGTCTGTGTCCATCTGAAAAAGAAAACCACAGGTCAAGATCGGTAAACGACCAAAAGGAGATGGCTGAGACACTAGCCTAACAAGGTCAGTGGGAGGAAGGCCTTTATCACTGAAACTCACAAGTATTCTTTTAACTCCAAAACAGATTACTGTTCTTTCTACAGGTGGTCCATTGCCCTCAGGATAGGAAATACACATTTTGCAGGGAATATAGTGGAACACAAAGCGGAAAGGTTAAATATTTCATGGCATGATTTGACTCAAGAAGGCACTACACATGAACCTTAGGGTGGATGAAGCCTGTTTTGCCACAGGATTGTAT